ATATTGTTCAAGAAAAAAATACACCAGTGCAAAATCAACAAGTGTAAGTCTAATAAGTGTAGTAATAAAATATAAATATAAAATTGTCAATAACCAGATGTGTAAAGAGTACATGCATACTATCCATATTTTGAAAGTACTAGTTTCAGAAATACTTGAAGTATAAAAGTAAAAGTAGTTTAAAGAACAAACAAAAATAATTTAAATAAAAAAATGTATACAATAAAAAAACAATAAGAAGAGTTAAAGCTGCACCACAGGGGTCTATAGCAGAGGTGGGCAATCCTGGTCCTTGAGGGCCACAGTCATGTTCCTCTGATCCAGAACACCTGTTCCAGTGATTCAATTCTCTAAGTTCTGCCTGAGCTTGATAATCATCCATTCATTCAAAATTAGGTGTGTTGGAACAGAGAAACCTCTACAACTTGCAGGATAGCGGCCCTCGAGGACCAGGATTGCCCACCCCTCGTCTATAGTGCCCACCTCCCCAAAACAATGTTGTTCTAAAGGCCATAATGACTTTAATGTTATATTAAAATGTTAAACCATGGTTATTGTGCTTCTCAACAGACTTACCTGTTAAAAGGAAGGTTTATATGAAACTAAAAATTCCTGTTTCAGCTACATATTAAAATCTGCTACATTTGTCTGATATGTCCTGCTGGAGGGTGATGTGATTTGTGTCGTACAAACCAACAGGATGCCAGAATGTAAAATATTTCTACTTCTCATCCAAACACAATTAAATTCACTCCATCCAGGAGGTGAGATATGTCTGAATAGATTCCTTTTCTTGAACAATGACAAGCCAGAATGAAAACAAGTGAAATAAAATAGAATTTTTTTTTTGGCAATTTTAAAATGTAAGAAGTAAAAAGTACAGATAATTGACAGAAAATGTTGTGAGTAGAGGTAAAAACTCGTCTGAAAATTAATTACACCAGCAACATATACAAACCCAAAATTTCTGTTTAAGTAAAAATAATGAGGTATTTGTTACTTGACACCTCTGTCAACAACACAACCTTCTATTGGACACTGACACAATGTGTAGGGGTTTCTGCTAATGTCTAACTCCAAACGGTTTGGAGACTRTGGCTCATTTTTCACTTTACTTTGTGAAAAATAAAGTCAGCAAATAAAGTGTAAAGAAACACACTATAGTCTCAATCCAACAAGATGCTCATCTCAGTATAAATACTATCCACATTTAGATAAATACCNTCATCATCATCATCATTACATCACATTGTTAAGTCTTTAAGTCAGTTTGATCTTTCTTAAAATAACCAGTACGACTCTGTTACTACTATACGTTGCAGCTCAGAGACGTGTTAGAAAGGTTATTTCCTGGTACTGACCCGGCCATGGTGAGGGCTCTGTTCACCCTCTGCTCCAGCTCGCTGGTTCCCAAAGCCTTCCACATGAGCCAGAACTTGAAGGCGTCTGGCTTCCTGCNTGGCTCAATTTAATCGTCTACAGAGAAACAAACATTTATACATACAAATAATATTTGGGGGCTAAAAAGAAAAAAATAGGGCTGCACAGTTGAGTTAGCATGTTCTCCCTGTGCATGTCGGGGTTTACTCCGGGTACTCCGGTTCTCCCCATTGCATGAGTCAAAAAAACCTGTTTATTCAGTCTCAGGAGCAACTACCCCTTTACAATTTAAATAAATAAATAAACAAATAAACAAACAAATAAATAAATAAATAAATAAATAGGATGAAAGGATGAAATCAATTCTGGCTCAATTTAATCAGCTACAGAGAAACAAACCTTTATACATACAAATAATATTTGGGGACTAAAAAGAAAAAAATAGGGCTGCACAGTTGAGTTTGCATGTTCTCCCTGTGCATGTCGGGGTTTTCTCCGGGTACTCCGGTTCTCCCCATTGCATCAGTCAAAAAAACCTGTTTATTAGATTAACTAGTGACTCTAAAGTGACAGATGTGGGCCCATCCTGGTTCTGTTACTGTTAGATCCCATCTAATGCAACCCATCACATATGTTGTACAAATC